CACAAAGCAAAGTTTGTGGGGAATAATAATAATAATAGCCATTTTCTGCACTTTTGAGGCATAAGCAATTAGAAAATAACACTTACTACCCCGGAACAAAAATCGTGTTACATAGTGATATGAGTGATGTCATATTTTGGGAGATCAATCGTTTGCAGTGCTTGTGTCTCTGGTAAAAAGGCAAAGACGTATCATGCACAATGGTCGGTGCGAATCTTAACCTGCGAAAATAATCCATTCCCTTGTGTTTAGGATGAAAGTGGTAATTGCACGCTATTTTTTCTCCAAAACAATTGTACCGGATCTAATTTTTCTCACTAAATATTATAATTGCTGAGGATATTGCAGATTAACTTAGAAGTGGCTGCAGCTTCTTAAACTGTTACGGTTGTCATATGCGATGACAGTCTGCTGCGGTGTATTATTTAACAGGTATAATTTAGCAAAAATAAAGGCTAAGGCCATATAAACAATACTTTCAAGGCACTACCACTTTCCCATAATAAAGACGAATATATGATTTTGTATATATAAAAACTAATAATAAAACCTATTGCATTAACTTTGATCCTTACCTGTGCATTGACAGTGCAATGTTAATGTGGCCACTTTATTGAGGGACTACTACGACTGTCTATCATTTATTTATGTATTTATTATTTACTTGTATTTAGTGACTTCATTTGGCATAATTGAAGCCCTCACTGTCACGTCCCGATAATTTCACAGTGATAACATGAGAACATGTCATCACTGCTGCGTAGAGAATACAACAACAAAAATAACCGCTTGAAGGATTTCTCAGAGCCCCCCTGTGAAAACAATTGGTGACAACACGGGGTACACCGCCTCTGTGAAATTTCTGAATTGTATCCTTCATCTCACAATGTGACAGACGTTACAGCTGGGACAAATTGTTGGGGTGGAAGGAAACCACCCAAAGCAATTGAACGCAGCTCCCGTTACGGTCCTGCCTCTCACTCAAGAGGCTGTACCCCTGGACACCACGGCCGTAACAAAAACCACGAAAGATGTTACTTGTAACTTTGATCATTACCTGTGTATCGATAGTGCAATATTAATGTGCCGTTTTATTGAGGGACTGCTCCTGTGTGATGTCGTCTTGGTGTGGTCTGGGACTGGGTTGTTGTCTTTGCTGCCTTACCCAAGCCTGATAAATTGGAGACATATAATTAATGTATTTCTTTTCTACCCACGTGACTTTACCGAAAGAACCACGGAGTATGAATGTATTATATAGATTAATATTTCGTGACTTGCTTACAATTTTCTCTATGTTGCACTCCTATCGTTATTTTTTTATTGTTTGCTGTTGTAACTTGCTGATGGAGTGGCCGTGCCAACTGCACCGCCTCTCCATCTCTCGGTGGAGAGATGTTAACTCCCCCACCTGGTGTGCAGGAGGTCGTGGGTTCGATCCCGACCCAGACGCCTGCTGCTGTATATTTAGAGTTTGCGTGTCTCTCTCCCCGTGGTCACGTGGGTTTTTCTCCGGGCCCTCCAGTTTTTCGCCCAACACATTTAGAATCAACATCGCGCGTTTGGAGTGTTAGGCTGCTATACATCTCCACGTGATAAGCCACTTCGTTGAGCTGTCATTTGTGGCCAGGTCGCTTCCTAAAAAAGAGCTACGTAGCTTAGTGGGCCTTACCTGGTCAAATTAAAAGAATGTACAGCTTGCTTTGCACATTTTTGTGAAAATACTTGTGATGAAGTGTTCCGATGGGGAAAGTTGAAATGCTTGAATGCAAATTATCCAAACTGAAATGGGCCCTCGCATTATGCAGTCTCCATGAATACAGAATTCGGACGATCTCAAGTGAAATGCCACTATTACATTCTTTCCTTTTTTATGTCAGCTATTATGCAGATGTCTTCTTTTTTTATTGCCGACAGTGAAAGACACTTCTGAGAATAAACGTTTCTTGATTTTCAAAACGTATTCAAGTGTTTATTTCGCATTTTTCGTCGATGTTTGTCTCTTGCGCTTAAAAATGCAACCAGTTTGTGCTCTCGTGGTGAAATGAGCCCTCGACCTTGATTATTCCCACTTGGAGCCCAGATTCACCGTGGTATAAATTCCACATTACCACGGTGAGGGCCAGTCTTTATCGGTGGAAAGTGAACCAAATGTTGACTTAAGCCTGCCACTGTTATCTTCCTATCGAGTGGTTTCAGCAGCAGATGTTCATATTATTGGCGCCTAAGGGACGGTGTCTTGAGTTTATCCTGCAATGCGATTTGAACTGACCGTGTTCATGCTTCACAGCCTTGTCCTGTTACATTTTGAGCTACCTTATATCCTGACAAGATTAAAAAAACAAAAATCCCACTTCACATATGCTTGAATTAAATTATACAATAAAGCATCAATAAAAAATGATGCTTTAATCGTGTCCTTCACATTCAAACTGTTCAGAAAGTCAGTGGGCTTGGGCAGGACACGTCACTGTAAGAGTTATGGCCAATTGGGCCAGAATTACGACGGGGAGTGACAGCCAAGGAACGGGATGCATCCAAAACAGTCACGGAAGCCTCACTTGAGTCTCAAAACATAATATACAGGCGTGATCACGGTGGCGAAATGTTGTCGACTTCGCCTGGTATACAGGAGGCCGTTGGTTCAATCCTGACTCTGATGCGTGTATATTTAGAGTTTGCATGTTCTCGCCGTGGTTGCGTGTATTTTTATTCGGGTCCTCCAGTTTTTCCCTCCACATAAAAAAGCCATGCTTTTAGAGTGTTTGGCTGCTATAAATGTCTACATTTGACAAGCCACTTCGTTGAGCTATCATTTGAAGCCAGGTCGCTTCTAAAAAAGAGCTGGAAAGCTCAGTGGGCCTCACCTGGTAAAATAAAAATAGGCCATAGTTTTATTGTTTTTATTTTATTTTATTTCTGATGGTCTTCAATGGCGTTCTTTAACCCTGTTCCTGGTTGAGGAGAGTTTTGCAAATGATAGAGCTCAACAACGACAAGGAAACCTGAACTAGATTTTAAAAAAACATTCAGAGGTCTTCAGATAGGTTCGCCAACATTATTGGCTCGGCTGGCATCACCTCCTGCGATGCAACAATCCAATTCAGCAGCTGCACACGAAGCGGTCTCAACGCTCCATCTCCCCGATGGACGACCTACTGGACGCGTCCCACCCTCGCGAGTGAGTGACTCGCTCCATCATTGTCCGAAACAAACCACAACATCAGCTAGTTGCTCTTAAACTAGTCCTGAATACCTCCAAAACCAAGGTGCTATGCTTCTCACCAGGACTAAAGCAAGCAGCTATTTTTCCCCAATTATATTCCGTAAATAATAATCAAATAGAGCAAGTCAAGATCTATAAGTATCTTGGGGTCATCTTTGATTAAAAACCGCATTTTCAAGATCACATTGATTATATTGGTAAAAAGACAAAAGTAAAAATTGGTTTTCTGTATCGACACAAGCACTGCTTCCCCCCAATGTTCCGTTTGGAATTGATAAAAACTACCGTACTGCCTCTACTTGACTACTGTGACATCGTGTATAAATCATCCCCCAGTACTTTACCGAAGAAGCTTGATTCAATTTACCATTCGGCCTTAAGATTAGCATTGAACTGCCCATATAAGACCCACCACTGCGATCTCTACATTGGGTCAAACTTAACTTCTCTTAATGATCGACGGCTTGTGCATCAGATCTTATTTATTCACGATGTACTTACAAAAAAATCAGCAGACTACCTGCTGGATCTCCTCACTGTTTCAAAGAACAAATGTGACCTAAGGTCTTCTCTCATTTACCAGCTTCACATTCCTTATTGCCGTAAAAATACTGGAGGAAGGGCCTTTGCTATTGGTGCCCCCAGGGTCTGGAATGCTATCGCCAATAAACCGCAACTTGGATCACTACCTGTGAGATCTTCGCTCAAAACAGCTCTAGAGGAGTTACACACCCCGAGCTGCCACTGCTATTCAGAATGGCCTGAAATCAAATGTATCATTCCGGATGACCGCTGCAAAGTATGGTCTTGAGTTTTGATTATAGTGTGCTGATTTTTAAAGGTGTATTGAAAATGTTAGATTCTGCTACTGATACTCCAGCTGTTATGGAGTGACTCATGCAGCCAACTATGGCTGAAAAGTTTGGTCGTACACGTTATGTATATCGTTTATTGTTCAATTTGAATCACAGTTCCTATGGTCACTGTTACATTGTTTTTACAGCTTTATTTTGGTGATTTTGGGAAACGTTTTGGTTTAGCCATGTGTGTTTTTTTGTAGTAGAGAGTTAACCTGATAACTTTAATCTACATTGTCTTATGGTTGTTATTGTTTGACTTGCATCTCACTGTGATGTATTTGCACACAGCGTTGAAATGCGGTGTTTTTTCTGGAAGACTTTGCTGTTTTTTCCAGGATTTTTCTGCTGCGTGTAGTCACTTTAAGATGTTTCTTGTTCATGTTTTTGTTGCGGTTGCACCCGAGTCAATGGCTCACAGGGTTATACCTAATCAATGAAACTGAACTGAACTGATATGCACAACAATAACCTTGTTGGTACAATCGCACAAAATAAGCATTTTACAAACCGTAAGGCAGAAGAGTAGAAAAAAACATAGAATTTTATTTTGGTAACATAACACACATACTCTACATTGTGCAATATATGGCGAAGCAGATATTACATACAAAAGGACAGCTCATTAGGTATATTTAAAAGTGTAGTTTGGTAAAGCAGTGTTTTGAATGGGAGAATATATACACTGAACATTACAATTTAGGACTGTGAAAGATAGCAACAGCTTCTGGAGGCCTTTTTCGCACATTCAGAAGTGGATTGATTATGGCTGATGATGTTTGCGTGTATATATTACTGTGCGGAGCGGTGGTGTAGCGGTTAGCACATCGCGCTACAAACCTCACCACGCGAGTTCGATTCCCGCTCACAGCCAACACCGGTGACGATTATCTAAACCGATCCTGGGCCTCCCCGAGGTCGTCTGAGTAGCTTGGTGCGGCGTGTAAACATCACCACTGGGGAGACAAAGGCGGCCGAGCGTGGTGCTCGCTAACAGCACTTGCACCAACAGCCTGTTGAGGCTATTACGGTGGATCTTTGTTCGATCTCTTCTGCATGTGAAAGAGTAAACAAGAATGGGAAACTACACAGCATCGAATCTTTATTTAGCTTGAAGGAATCCGATGAGCTATGAAGCTCTTTTGAACAGATATCCAGTAGGCTGCATGGGGGATCTTTGTCTTTGTTATAGACCACTTTGATTATAATTATCAGCATTACTGTTTCCACAGTAAGCCTTTATTTTTAATTGAGCTGAATGCTGGTCCTTAAAGTTGCTCGCTGCAGCCAGAGAGAGGAATTATTCGTTTTTTTCCAAGTGGGAATTGTATATTTTTGGAGTTTCCTATTTTTCCTCTCATCCAATTATCTTGCTTGTTCTCCTTCGCACATCGTGTGCTTATTAATACTGTTAATTCTTTGTCAAAAGGCAAGAAAATAAATAATACATTTGCAAGTATATTTGGTTCATTACATTGGCATGCTTATTGTAATACGTAACCACAGCTTCCGCCCACGCATTGCACATGCAAGTCCACTGTTGGGTGAAGGCCCCTGTGCGGATTGTTGGGATTATTGACCATACCATGGCTTGTCACTGCGGGTTGGTGAAGGCTGGGAAGGCGGGGAGCATATAAATAGAGTATAACAACACCTTTTTTCTTCACCACTGCTGTCTGCTGCGCCACAATGTAGCCCCGGATAGGGCTGAACTCTCGCTTAGTGGACTATGATGATGATGATTATTGGAATGCCAATAATATCCATCATCAAGGTTGTTTGCCAAAATCGATGAATGCTTACTGGCATCTATGTCTTGTATTATCACATTGCCAAGTGTACTTACACTGACTAAAGGTAATATAATACTTATGATAATCGGTCTTCATTTGCCTCAATTTAATAATAGCACACAAGCAACAGGGTGGTACATTTTTATGAATGCCCACTGATTTTACAATAACCGCCTGACTCGCTTCACAACAGGCGATTGAAAATTGTGAAAGGGATGTCTCCATGTCTTACAAAGGAGTAATAACAAAGGGCATCGCAATTAATGAAATAAAGGAAGAAGCTTTAAAATAAATGCATCACGTCTCCCTTTTGGCAGTATTCAAGTGGGATATCTATAAACGAATCGCCTTGCATTGAAACACGACACGTCACTTGGGGTGTTTCATTATTTACAGACCGCGTGCCTGTGTAGCACGTGCGTGTTTACAGAGTGACCACCACGCCTGTACACCCACAGAGCGAACGACGTGGCTCGTCTGGTGCAGCTTTGCCATTGCACGCCTTGTGACAGGCGGACGTGCAGCGTGCTCTTCGTGCAAGAACACTTGCGGTTAATTCTGCGATGACATTGCTCAAGCAGATGGGGGGGGGGGGGGGGGGGGATGAGATATTTTGTAGTTGATTCCGCCTCTTACAGATCCCCGGAGGACTGTTTTCCCACCCGTGTGATGCGTGGAGATTTTCACTTTAGTTTTCACTTGTATAAATAAGGACAGTGCATTAAATCTCGTTGATCTTTCACCGTAACCTTGGCGTCTCCTGCCACAAAAAAGGGCACGCGACTTCAGAGTAGCCGCGGTACAGATGTGAATTTGAACTCCGGTCCGGGCAAAAAATAAATGACGCAGTTGTAAATTGTACAAAACAGACCGACCTTGCTACGGAACGAACAGCAGTCATCGCAATGTTAACGGTACACATCGTTCAGGATACAATACGTACGGGATACCTACGGTGACACAATGTAGCTGCTGTCCAAGAAGCATTTACGGAACCTCCGTGCCTTGTTATATAATATGAAGGTTGTCTTTACTTCAAGCGCAGCCATAGACATTTTCTGAACGCGGAGATCCACTGATTAGCAGAAGAAGAAAGCACAACAAACATACGAACAATAATTTTCCTTCCGGCTCAAGATTTCCATTAATTTTCCATGTTCGTGATCGGTGACAATGATGTGCCTCCTCCATACGAAGTCCTCCAATGTTCTCTGATTTTTTTTTAAAGCTCACTTCATGTGTAGGTTTCCAAAGACGAACCAGTTACGCTGCAAAAAAAGAGAACACAATACCGTCGTGTTAATGTGAATATACGAGCGTTGGTTTGCGTGGAGTCTGATTTGCATTGGTCAGACGATGCACCGTTTTCTCATGCAACTTGAACATTCGCTGCAGTGGTCAAATGTGTTTTGATTATCGGTGCCTTTCCCATTTGTAAAGAGTGATCCTCGTCATTATTCTCATCAAATCTTGAGTTGTTTTTTTGTTGTTGTTTGCAATCTATATTCATTGATGTTAAAAATACTCTTGACTGTTCCATGCAGGGGAACAAGAAGGGTGTGTGCACATAACCTTCCGTGGAGTGGACGCGAGTGCCTGCGACGAGAAGGGAAATTCAAGGGATGCACTCAACTGTCTCAACTAATTCGGCCGTATAGCGGCTACAGCTGGGGACTTGCAAAGGCAAATTGTTGGAGAAAGGTCGCAGGTGTTTTGACAAAGGTATCTTTTCCAGGGGCTTTTGGCAATGCTAAAGGCTGGACACAAAGGCATCCAATTGCAACTGTTGGTCCCCTTCTGCATTGGCACTGCTGTCAATAAAGACAACAGGTGTCCTGCGTGGGTGGCCTGGGGTTAGAGGAGCGAGGCCAGCACTGCCGAGATCCTGGGCACAAATCCAGGCAGCCCAATCGTGGGTAAATTTGGCTCCTCAAGTGCACGGAGTTGCAGTCTATATCATCGATGACTGCACGCAAAAGAAAGACGTCCATCGAATAATGTTCTTTTTTTTGCACAAACATTCTAACTTTGAGAATACCAATGTCACTTTCACTACCACGCGGCAAACACCCTTGACAGCAGGGCGCATGGGGGAGGTGCAGCACTCTTAGTGGTGGAGAGGAGGAGGAGGTCACTTGGGGAGCATCTCTAGAAGTTTGTTCTGTGATTGTAATATTACTGGTAGGAAACGTAGTGGGTTGGAAGCCCAACCGGCATGAATTCACAGGAGGCAGGGGATTCATTGTGTATGTCTGTGGATGTCTGTCCACGTGGGAGGGGTGGGGCTGGGTGGAGAGGGGAGGGTAGGGAGGGGCTCGGTGGGGAGGGGAGGGTGGGGAGGAGCTGGGTGGGGAGGGTGGGGCTGGGTGGGGGGGTGGGAGGGGTGGGGCTGGGTGGAGTGGAGCTGGGTGGGGAGGGGCTGGTCACCCCGTGGTGCCCTTATAAAACTCAACGTTTAACCTACTCACGCCGGCTTGTGCCCGCCCTCACAGTCGGGCATATTTGCGGAATACACCACGCCGCCGTTGACCCTGGCCATTGACCGAGCAACCCAACGTTCCTACCAGCTCCCTCCGCAGGAATGTGTTCCACAAGCCGTTCTCAAGTAAGGAGTGATGCAATTTGGTCTGTGACCGTTATCCAGTCAACTTTTTATGTTATCTCATTGCATGATGTTGGCAGCACATTGTGAATACAATGGTGATTTTTTTTTTAGTTGTTGTTTAAGAAAGACAAACACCCCCTCCATTATGGCCAACTAAAACCACACGCTCAGCAGAGACGCTGCAAACCCACACGACAGGTTCATGGAACTGGAGAGGCCCACGAGTGTTGACGAGTTACGGTGACACCACAACGCATCATATCGTACAAGAGCTACCGTATTCGTATAAGTAGATTTTACTAAATATTGTGCGAGCGAGATTATCGTGGCTCGAATGTGTACCTCGCATATTATTTCCTGACAAAATATATTCATGGAATAACAACAGCACAAAATGTAAAAAAAACAGCTTTGCCCATTTTAAATGAGTATTTTTGCACGCAAAAAAACAATTCCAGAGCAATTGATGGTATTGTGGGGTTATATGACCTCATCTGTTTTCGTTGTCATTTAATTATTCCTTGTGTGACTGGCAGCATGTGACTTGTAAGCGTTATAGGATCATAAAGTTTCCACGACGAGAAGACTTAGTCGCAGTTCGTGTCGAGTGAATTTGAAGTGGAATACATTTAACCATGACATTATATCGTCGTCGTGAAAAATTAACATCGCCGTAATGTATCGTGACGACAATTTTTTTTTACAATCGCGGGACCCGATGTTCGTTTTTAGAACAATAACAACAACAAAAACAACAACGACAACAACGACGTGGGACGGATTCACCTTCTTGCAGGCGGCGCTGCGTGCTGATTGTGGTGGTTCCCAGCCGCTTGCTGGGGGACCGTGTCCACCGTGAGGTAGGTGCGCACGGAGCTGCCCAGGGGCAGGGTCTTCCTCTCCTGCAAGCTGGAGCGCATGCTCATGCTGGAGCTCTTCTGCTTCTTCGCCTTGCTCTTGCCGCCGTCGGCCGCGCCGCTCCGATCGCACGGAGCTCCGCATGGGCAGTCGAGGCACGGCACGCCGGAGCAGAGGCGCGAGCACAGCTGGCGCAGGTCGGCCTGGGGAAGAAAAAGAAAAACCCCACTAAAAACCGGAAAAAATAAAAAAAACACAAAAAAACTGGAAAAACACTGAAAACCGGAAAAAGATAAAAAAAACTAAAAACCGGAAAAAAACACTAAACACCGGAAAAAATAAAAAAAAACACTAAAAACCGAGAAAAAAACACTGAAAACCAAAAAAAATAACAAAAATCCATCAAAAACCGGAATTTTTTTTAAAAAACACCAAAAACCGGAAACAATAAAAAACCACTAAAAACCGGAAAAAATACAGAAACACTAAAAACCGGAAAAATAAAAAAACACTTAAAACCGGAAACAATAAAAAAACACTAAAAACCGGAAAAAAATAAAAAAACTAAAAACCGGAAACAATAAAAACACTAAAAACCGGAAAAAAATAAAAAAACACTAAAAACCGGAAACAATAAAAACACTAAAACCCCGAAAAAATAAAAAAACCGGAAAAAATGAAAAAAATTAAAACCGAAAATAATACAAAAAACACTAAAATCCCCCCCCCCCCCAAAAAAAACGACCGGGGGGGCCTCCTTTGTGAGCGATCGCACCTGCGCCTGGGTTGTTCTGCAGCTCCCGAAGAAGCTGGGTTGTTGTTGTTGTTGTATGTGAAGGTGGGGAAGGGCGGTAAATGTCGTACGCTATTTACACCGCAGTATCGCTAAAATTGCAGTAACCATGTTTTAAAATGCAACATCTCACGTGCTACTGTTTGCACGCTAAAAAAAGGCAAAGATCCCCCGTATAGCATTATACAGACTGTTGGGGCAAGTGCTGTTAGCGAGCACCTATTAAGGCTGCCACGGAACACCAGTGGGTGCGTCGCCAAATCCATGCCCAGCCGCCTTTGTCTCTCCCAGTGCTGATGTTTACACAACGCCAGGTACGTATTTAAAGCTAAGTCGACCTCACGAAGGCCCATAAACCAGTTCAAATATTCACCACTCGTTATTGGTCATGCGTGGGATTCAAACTGAGGTCACAGGGTTCGTAGTGCAGTGCGCTAGTGAGCAAATGCACACGTATACACAGAGCTTTGAGCTGAAAGTAAACACTTCAATCCAATCATAGATTAAGCTTTTAATTATCATCAATATAACATATGAATGAAAATGAGAACTTAATCCATTTACGAGATGGGGAAGAAAAAACACAACCTCCGGCTCATAACTTGCATAATTATTGCTTGGCAGCATTACGTGTTGAGAGTGTGGCTTCAATTATGCTCTGCTGAACAAAAAAAAAGACTCTTGGAAGCCTAAAAAATTTAATCCATTCCACATCTTTGTGTGCACCATCATTTGACATCGGTAATGGTCAATCCACTGCTGGATTAAGGCCTCTACAGGCCATCGCGATCCCTCACCATGGGAAATGTAAATGGTTAGTACATGCATGAGAGCGCTGTGTTTATGCTTCCGAGATGTATCCAGTGACAGCAACTGGGAAAAAAAAATACGTCTCTGGCTTTTGAATACTTTCATTGTGTATGTCTGTGGATGTCTGTCCACGTGGGAGGGGTGGGGTTGGGTGGAGAGGGGAGGGTAGGGAGGGGCTGGGTGGGGAGGGGCTGGGTGGGAAGGGGAGGGTGGGGAGGGGCTGGGTGGGGAGGGTGGGGCTGGGTGGAGGGTGGGAGCGGTGGGGCTGGGTGGGGTGGGGCTGGGTGGGGTGGGGCTGAGTGGGGAGGGGCTGGTCACCCCGTGGTGCCCTTATAAAACTCAACGTTTAACCTACTCACGCCGACTTGTGCCCGCCCTCACAGTTGGGCATATTTGTGGAATGCACCACGTGGTGCCGCCGTTGACCCTGGCCATTAACCGAGCAACCCAACGTTCCTACCAGCTCCCTCCGCAGGAATGTGTTCCAGAAGCCGTTCTCAAGTAAGGAGTGATGCAATTTGGTCTGTGACCGGTATCCAGTCAACGTTTTCATGTTATCTCATTGCATGATGTTGGCAGCACATTGTGAATACAATGGTGATTTTTTTTTTTTAGTGCCTCCTACATACGTGCAAAGCAGAGAAACCTCAAGTCCTGCAAGTGTCGGTCGATGATTTTGACTCCGCAAAGGTGCATTATTGTGTGCGTTTCGTGGAATTACATTACTGCAAAAAAAGGATCTCGAATGCGCATCAGAATTGTATTGCGCTAAATGTCCTTAGCGTGGATGTGTACAGTCTTACCGCACAAAAAAAGGACGGAATTTTGTGCACCTTGGTGTATGCCTCCCTTCAGAATGCGGAGGCCCTCTGCCTGCAGTGATTGATGAAGTATGCAATCTATGCCCATTGTATAATACAGTGGCGACGATCAATCTCTGGTGGTGGAACAGCAAGGGCTCCTGTTTGAGACCATCAATTTCAATTCCTGGCCACGGTAGGACCTCACTCTCTGGGGTGACGTAAAAAATTAATACGGCGAGGTGAGCTTCGATTGACGCAGAGTCAAACGTGGGCCGGTCTATGGAGAGGCTGCTCTTCGTCATTTACGCATACAGCAGCCCGTTTGTCAATCCACTGCTGGATGATGACCTCCCAACGTAAAGGTTAAGTTCAGTTAATTTTATTAGGTATAGCCCTGTGAGCCATGCGGCTCTTGAATCGGGTGCAACCGCAACAAACAAAAACATGAACAAGAAACATCTTAAAGTGACTACACGCAACAGAAAAATCCAGGAAAAAACGGCAAAGTCTTCCAGAAAAAGCACCGCATATCAATGCTGTGTGCAAAAATCCCAGTGAGATGCAAGTCAAACAATAACAACCATGAGACAATTTAGGTTAAAGTTAGCAGTCTAACTCTGTACGACAACAAACAAATATGGCTAAATCAAAACGTTTTCGAAATCACCAAAATAAAGCGATAAAAACAATGTACATCGGAACTGTTCACCAGGCGAGGGAGTTCACATCTCGCCACCGCGAGCAATGTCCCAATGTCCATTTGAGAGCTAAGAACACGCTGGCCCATCTATATAACGTGTGTGTGGGGGGGGGGGGAGCGGTAGTGTAGTGGTCAGTGCGCTGCACTATGAACCCGGCGACCTGAGTTCGATTCCCGCTCACGGCCAACACCAGTGATGATTATTTGAACCAGTTCCTGGGCCTCCCCTAGGTCGACTCAGCCTGTAATTAGTACGATGTGTAAACAACGCCACTGGGGAGACAAAGGCGGGTGGGCGGCCGGGCGTGGTGTCGGGCACCCACCCCCTCGTGCGCCGTGCCGGCCTTTCACAGGCGCTACTCGCTAACGGCACTTGCCCCAACAGTCTGTGCAGGCTATAGGGGGAACCTTTGTCCTGTGTGCACCGGCGGCGTTGCGCCGTCGCACGCACCCTGAAGCTGTCGTTGTAGAAGCCGTAGACCAGGGGGTTCCACACGCTGTGCGACATGGCGAGGAAGTGAGAGCAGAAGTAGAGGGCCGTGGCGGAGCCGGGGTGGTGAGGCAGCAGCGAGGGCCCGAACTCGAGCAGCGCTTGGAACACGTTGAGCGGCAGCCAGCACACGGCGAACATGAGCACGATAATGCTCAGCATCTTGATCACCTGCAGCGCACGCAAAGGCAAAGTCCCCCGGCGAGATGTGTTGGCGCCATTTGTGTTGCGCGAACACCAAGCGGCGGGTCATCCTTTCGTGCGTGACCGTGCACGATCTGTTCTTGTTCAGCTCTCACGCGATTAACGGATTTAGATTTCAACAATTCCATCCCCTCCCCCCCCCACGATTTTATCCAATGGGGCTATCGTCGTCATGCCATGGAAACAAAAACATATCATCCGTTCGAATTTCTCGCAGAGCAGTGCAACAATTGGTGCTATAGAGGTCGGCCCATGGAATCGGACATCATGGAACTATCTCCAAGTGACCTCTGCACCACGCGACGGAGACCAATGCTCTCCCACACCAACTCTGCGTCCGAGGCAAATGTTTGTCGCATTGCAGTCGAATCGATATTTCATTCCCGGAGCTGGGATTAGCCCAATTAAGCGCACGTTCCCACATGTCCGGCGATAGAGATAATGTCCGTTACATGGCAGTCAAACCGAAACTGGAATGTTGCCATGTGAAGTAAAAAATAATAATGCGATGGGATTTCATAGTGAATTGGTGATTGGGCTAAGACCATTATCTCTCTACATTTGAAGACCCGGCTTCATTATGGGTGAGCTAATACTCAGATTAAAAGCCAGGATCTGAACCCCCCTGAGCCATCCGGGGTCACCTCGTTTGTCACTCTCAATGTCAATTTCAATTAAAACAACAACAACAACAACAACAAAAATCGTGGGGAAAAAAACAAGGTGACAGAGATGCGGGAAAAGCTGGACTTGCTGTGAATGGCTTTTCGGGAAGAGCCGCACTATCACCGAACAGCCGAGCCCCACACTCCACCTTCCGCTTGGAGCGCTCCTGGTGGAGCTCGCGGTTGTGGTCGACGTTGCCAGGTGTCCGCCGGCCCCACAGCCGCACGGCCACGCTGGAGTAGGCGAGGGTGAGCACCAGGAGGGGCAGCAGATAGGTGCCGAGCAGCAGCGCCACCGTGTAGCTCTGCTGGTATCCGCGGCTGGGCCAGCCCACCTCCAGGCATTTCCCCTTGCCCAGCTGCAACATCGGGCCACGCGTCGCCACGGCTAACGTCGTCGTCGCTGACATACAGACACGCCGACCTCACCCCCTCCCCTCCCCTACCATTGATCCATCGGCTAGTCCTCACCATTGATCTATCGGCTAGTCATCACCCACATTTCATCAACCGTTTGTCACCGACTCGCCCATCACCCACCCATCACCAACTCATGACTTATTCATGACCCAAACATCCGTCAGCCGCCCCACTCCCCCACCCATTACCCATTCCACCACCCAGCTATTCACCCAGCCATCACCCATCCTACTGTCACCCACCTACTCATCGCCCACCCACGATCACCAGCCAGCGCACACCTACAGTATCACCCGTTCATCATTCAACCACCACCAACCTTTCAGCCACCTACCCACCCATAATCTGTCAAACCATCACACACTCATCACCACACACAGATCAACCACCCATCACCCATTCATCAGAAACAAATCGACCAACCACCCAAAACTCACCCATCGCAAAAACCATTACAACGTCTTTCCACTCCCTTCTGTGCATCTGGCCGATGACGTTGGGTGTTGTTTCGATTGAGGATCGTGCGACATGGACTTGTGGGTATGGGTTTTTTTTTATTCTACCGTTAATAGTCAAACGTTGGAGCCGAATGATCTTTGCCTTTTAAAGCATTGTCAAATTGCTTGGCGTGGGCGCCTCCGGGTTCTAACAGCATGTCAGGGCACTGAGCCGGCACCGTTGAGACCTTGGGTTCAAGGCTGTGCAGTCACCCGTGATTACACTGGGTCATAAGGTGCTGCAAGTTGATGGCCTCAGCCCAGTCACCATTGGGTGCACGAATATTTTTTATTTATTAATTCCACATAGTCCAACTGTGAAAATTAAAATCAGTTTTATTTTGTTGTCACATGAGATGAAACACTCTTTGCCATGGTGAAATTGATCAGAATCAGAGTATGTATTTAAATTGGTGGAATCCGATGGGCTATAAAGCTATTTTTCACAGATGTCCAGTAAAATTAAAAAAATATATGCCACGAATCTAATAAAGGAGAGACGTTCAGAAGTGATTGTGCGATTTACATTTTCTGACGCCATTCTCTGACACGAGGCGGTGCATTTTCTCGATTTAAAAAAAGTCTAAATGCAATTGTATTCATCACGTGACAACCTGGAGCCAACAGCACATTTTGGAATATAATTGGAATTTTAAAAAAACGAAAGACGCATATCTATGGAGCACCTGCACTATTCCACAATTCAGTTGATTGCCTGCTGAATATCTGCCTGTGCTTCATTCTCTTGGGATGTTGGCAAGTCACAGAGGAGACCAAAGTGAAAGCAGTGATCTGAAAAAAAACAAATGATGAGGGAGAGATTTGGAGATTGGACGAGCCTTGAGCCGGTCACGTAGAGGCTCGAGAGAAGGCCAGCAACGTAAGGGTTTATAAAGGGAGGAAGAAGTCCAGAGAATGAGGTGGATGGAGTGGATGCAGGTGTGAGGGCAGGGTGGGGGGGGGGGGGTACGTCATGAGGGAATGGGGAGAAAAGAATGTGTGGCGAGGGGGGGAATGTGTGATCTTGAGATGGATCGCAATGCATTCATTTCCAGCGAAGGGAATGAAACTGGTGACAGCTTGGGCCTTATCAGAAAAAGACAGCCCAACAACACCGCGTTTGGTACCCAGGCAGTTTTAGCCCTACCAATATAAAACACGCGCTCGAAAAAAAATCTAAAATATTCACACTTTTGTCTTTTCACGACTGGATGAAGGCCTTCCCGAGAACTCCATGTCTCTCGCAGCCCAGTGTGGCTACCGTTCGTCGTGCTCTTGACCGTGAAGCGATCTCATCGCTCCATCTCCACGGCGAGCGATTCCTTTCGGACGCTCTCCCTCCGCTGGCTGCCGTTTCAACTCCAGTCTTGTCCACCGTTAATCAGCCTAACTGGCGATGTCTTTTGCCCAAAGAAAACAATATAACCGTCGCGTAAATACAACGTTTAATAGGCCAATGCATGAATGGTGGAATAGGTCGTACATTACAAACGATGTTTAACTCTTAATCTAAACATTTTTGGGGATTTTACCAGGTAAGGCCCACTGAGCTAGGAAGCTCTTTTCAGAAAGGATTTGGCCACGCATAATATCTCAATGAATTGGCTTGTCACGTGAGAATTGATAGCAGTCACATACGACAAACGCACGTTTCTAAATGTGGAGGGAGAACGCGGAGAACCTAGACAAAATCCACACGACAACTGGGAGAACACGCAAACTCCAAATATACAGCAGGCGTCAGGGTCGGGATCGAACCCACGACCTCCTGCATACCAGGCGAGGGGGTTAACGTCTCACCACCGCGGCACTCTATAGAGGCTGTTAAAATGATGTCTTCCTGCTTGGACAATGTCGTTTCATTGCGGTAATTCAATTAAGGGAGCCTTGGATCCAGGTAGAGTGTGGGTAACGTGACCTCTTCCAGCCCAGCTGTCCAACGTCAAACAGTTGGCAAATTGCCCCCAGAAAATAGCAGCACTCTGCTCGCAGTGGTGTAAAAGACTCAGCGAGGGTGGATATTTTACCCTCAATTCACAATCGTAAGAGCAGCGTCGTTCTTGGCGATATTATGCTGACGCCTTTACCACCTAGGCGGTGGCACGGCCTCGTTGGTGGCACGTTCAGAGCTTGCTGCAGTGGCCGCCCTGGTTATTATGACTGTGGAGGTATTATTAGCCGCAGTAAATACGCGCCGTCTGCTTCACGGTGGATGACAAAGGACCTCGTGACGTCAATCTCCGTACTAGGCTGTTGTTTTTTTGTCTGGCGTAACGGTACAGCAACAAAACAAAACAAATTCGGAAAATGATCCGCTCTGAAATGTACGTGGCAATCGCCGGCCTCTACTCCAATGAACGTGGCAGGACCCTCATGAAAAGGAGTCCTGAGACTCTGTGAGGCTTTTCTGGGTCAACAAGTATAACACGTTATTTTAAGGAGATAATCAATCTCGCCACGTATTCCTGCGGTTAGAAAAAATACACTCTGACGTATAATTGCGACAATTAAACTATTGTGCTCAGTTATCGAGCAACCCACTTATCCAAATGCACGCTGGGGTCAAATGCCCCCCTGCGCTTGGCTGAGGTGGAACCCTCGGGGGGGGGGGGTTTAAAATTGCAGAAGGCAATGCCTTGTGGCGTGTACCGTAATGACTACCCCGGTGATGAAATAAAAAAAAGATAGAATTCTCATTCGGCTCGTAGGGTTGGTCGGCCAGAGAAGGTCACAGCTGGCTCTGTGGCTCTGAGACCGCAGCGTCTCCCAGGGAGGTGGATGGATTGGGAGGGAGGGAGCGAGGGAGGTGGACGGGAAGGTGGGAGGGGTGGAATCACAGAGAGAAGGGGACATGTGGCGGCAGGGAGAACGTGAGCAGCTTTGGAGAGTGGTCGTGAATCGTGAGTGTGTGCGAGACGTGGATCGGTATAGAGTGGTGGTTAGCGCTACGCTGCGCTACGAAACCCGGCGACACGGGTTCAATTCCAGCTCACGACCAATACCAGTGACGATTATCTGAACCGGTCCTGGGCCTCCACCTAGGAAGACTAAGCCGCAATTGAGTACCTGGTGCGACGAATAAACATGGTCACTTGGGAGACAAATGCGGCCGCGCGTGTTGTTGGCCACTCACCCCGCTCGTGTGCTGTGCCGGCCTTCATAGGTGCTGTCCAACAGCACTTGCCCCCAGCTGTCTGTCAAAGGCTAATGCGGGGTGGGGGGGATCTTTTTCACGTGCGAGACTCACCCGAGAGATGCCCAGTTGCACCGACGAGATGCTGATCGACACGGCCCAGATGAGGGCAATGAGCACCTTTCCCCTGGACTTGGTCATGCGCGAGTGCAGCGGGTGACACACCGCGTAGTAGCGGTCGATGCCGATGGTCGTGAGCGTGTAGATGCTCACGGACACGGAAAGGGTCTGAAACGCAAGGGAACATCGGGCGAAGATTGTTTTCTGTTTTACTTCCCGTGGACCAATGCTGCACCCTCGGCTGCATCCGAGATCCCTTCCCGATGTCTGAGATCCCAGCTGCGACGCTGCCGGATTTTAAGGCGAACGCGTTTTGTAAAAAAATGTACTTGAGAGGACACTCGCCGCTTTTGCCAGCGCTCCCTCCCTGTGTAGCAGCAAGTACTTTTCAGTAAAACTCAGTTTAGATGCAACCGGATACGCAAGAGAGAAAATAAATGTGGTTTTCAGACGAGACCCTTAGAAAACCTCGACTGACGGAGCATCCCTAGGGGACTGGGACGAGGCGTTCCAAGAACGAGACGCCGAACAACTGGAAGTTCCATCGCCCACTGAACGCAGATTTATCCCGCTACATGTAGCACACTACTACATATCGCGGGATAGCATTCGGCTCAGCGATGCATTCTTTTTCAGAGAAGAGGGCAGCCGCCGCAAGAATAACAATTGCCTCGGCTATTCAGACAGGGCCATGGCATTCTTTTCATCTGGTTATTTGTGACAGAGGTGATCGCCAAATAGTGTCTTGAGATAAGGCACTTACTGATTATTTTCTTGATAAAGTGCAAAGCAATACTTACCGAGTATTTCTTTTTCCCTCGTAAGAGAAACTATATTAAACTTTTCTAAATCAGCTTTTCGACATTAACATATATATTGCATCTTAGGTAGCAGCAGCAAGATACCCTGGTTTTGATACACGTGCAACAACAACAAAAAAAAACCTACAGTCTACTAATCTTCGCAACAACTGCGAAAAACAATGGGATAGGAAGAGATAGGAAGCGATCGCCCACGGTCATCTCTATAAATATTCTCTGAGGATTCTTTCCTCCATGGAGGTCTGCATTGCGCGGAGGTTCGAGACGCCCCCCCCCCCCCACACACATTAGCCCCCCGCACTTTGCAGTAATCATTCTGGGTAAATGAAACGCGATGCGCGGCTGCTTTCCCCGTGTCGCACTCCCGGAGACTGAACGCGCGCGGCAGTTCACTTTTTTTGGCGCACGTTTTAAAACCCCACGCGTCTCTTGACATTCGCGGCGGACCCCGCCTATTGCAGGTGCAATTCGATATTTTTTTCTAACACCCGAGGGGAGGGGAGGGAAGGGATTTTTTTTTGTTTCCTTCATTCTATTTATTATTATATTCTCATTATTATTCGCCGTTATAAATTTGCATGCGTTTACGCTTTGCGGATTGACAAGCTGCCAGAATTCTCTCGTCAACCGCTCACGGCCCCCTTACGTCCTGGAGGTGGAGAGGGCGGGGGCGTCAGTCGTCACAACGAGTGGGGGAGCCTCCCTCCTCGTGTCTATTTACTCTCGAGTCAGTCGGTGGGGGGGGGGAGGGGTCTCACGCCCGCGTAACCGCGCCTGGCGCGCCGCGGTCACTCGCCTGCGCAAATCTCACGAGGGGGCACAGCAGGGCGCCGAAGAGCCAACTCTGCAGCAGCACCTCGGTGAAGGTGAAGGGCAGGCAGAAGAGGGCCATCGTGAGGTCGGCCAGCGCCAGGTTGATGAGGAAGGCCGAGATGTCGGTGCGCGCCCGGCGGCCCAGCGCCAGCACCCAGACGACCACGGCGTTGCCGGAGAGCGCCAACACCGTGGCGAGGCCGTAGAGCGCGATGATGACCGCCTGCCAGCGAGGGCCCACGATTGGCTCCGCGTCCTCGCCGCCAAAAACCCCGGTGACGTTCGGCCCCGTGGAGCCGTTCTCGCCGAAGTCGCCGACGCCGTGTGGCAGCGGAGCGCTCGACGCATTTTCCGGCATCTCCATTGTTGGGATCTGAGCTCTCGCACCCGCACGCAGACGAAGATTCCACCACCCCCCCTCCACCAACCTCCACCCCACGTAGCCCGTACAGGCTGTTGGGGGCAAGTGCTGTTCGCGAGCACGTGTGAAGGCCGGAATGGCGCACGAGGGGGTGGTGTGGTCAGGAATCACGCCCGGCCGCCTTTGTCTCCCGAGTGGCGATGTTTTTACAACATCGCGCCGGGTACTCGATTGAGGCTGAGTCGATCTAGAGGAGGCCCAGAACCGGCTCGCACACACAGAAAAAGTTCCCCCATGTAGCTGTTGAGGCAAGTGCTGTTCGCGAGCACCGATTTAAGGCCATTAAAGTGGTGGTTTCAGGTCGCTGCACTGGATACTCATTTAAGGCGAAGTCGACTTAGGGGAGGCCCAGGACTGGTTTAGATCATCCCCACTGATGTTATCCATGGCTGGAAATTTTAACCGAGGTGACCGATTTCACAGCGCGGTTCGCTAACCGCTACGTCACTGCTCCACACAGCGGACACACGCACAGACATGCACACTCGAAATGTCACAGTTGTCATGTGGAGAAAAAAAGGCCTGAATGCATACATTTGCAATGACCGGTCCCGTAAATTATCCTCCCACAATGTCCATTTCAGTCGAATTATAATCGTTTCAAATTATAAATAACTTTCTGCAATTTCCACACCGCGTCCGACCCACCCACCATTAGAGTGCTATTGGTGGAGTTCATTTCACCAGGAATACACTGAACAGGGCCTTTGATTTATTCGACGAGCCAATTTGAGGGCCGGTGGAAAGAGAGTTCCACATCTCAGGCGCCACACGCGAGAAGGCCCCGCTACTACCGCCCAGCGCAGAAGGACACATTCTCGGTTGAGCAAGCAGGGCCTGGCCCGAGGAGCGCAAGGTCATGCATCTACCAGACGTCTGAGAGGGCCTTACGAGACTGCAGGTACTGAGGACCAAGGCCAAGGGAGAAGAATGACTTGGCTCACTGATGATGGAAATCATCTCCAAAAGTGTACTGTGTGTACGCGTGTGCGTGTTGTGCTGTCGGCAGGCATCGTGCCATCAGGCGGAGAAGCTATTCGGAGATCTTATGGAGCGGTGGAATCTGTGTGTGGGGGGATGTCTGAAAAATATTTCGTGACATTTTTCCGTGTTTTTTTCTTTTACACAGCTGCAGGAGGGGGTCGCACTTTTCAACGCACTCTGCAATCAGATTGTCGCGTCACATTTAACTTTTTTTCATTCTCAGAACTGGGATTTGTGTTGGCAAATGAAGTAGGAAACCAAATATAATGATGTATTTGTTTTGCAGCGATTGGCTGAAAAACAATCAGCTCGCAGTCCAGTTCAATCACGAGGAGCTGGCCAGAACCAAAACCCGGAGCTCGGTGTTACCAGCTTGCCACCCGGCCACCTCAGGGGATAGGATTTTTCTAAGCATTCGGCATGAAAATGTAAAGCAATGTAAAACTATAGGCCGAATCTGCCGTATGAGTAAAACCAATATATACTATTTTTTTATGTCCGATTAACATCTTTTGAAAAATCGGATTTCAGTAGCTATAGTCATACACTTTACTATATTTGTGTTCTTGTTTTTTTGTTTTGTAGTCCTTGGAGACCTCCATGATCATTTACATCTGTCACTTTTTTTTTCGCTCCGACACAATCGTCCATTTGCATCCGAGATCTCCTCAACTCTTTCTGTTGAGCTCCTCGTCCGTACCTCCGTCCGTGCGTGCGTTCGTACGTACGTGAGCACGTATGGTTGAACTTCTTTCGCACCGTACGTAACCCCAACCGTGCGGGGGGGGGGGGGAAAGGGTTAACAACAAAAAAGGAGAGGGAGACCGCTTCTCTACCGCCGCTCGCCCAACACGCGGCAGCCTCTCGCTGAAATCCAAGGCTGGAGATAAACCCTTGGCTTCATGATTACACGCGGTTGTTGTTGTTGTTGATCCTCTCTTGATCACTGCCTGGGTGTTTTTTTTTTTACAAGAGCCAGACAGCAGGAAGATTAGTTGAGGTGTGAAGTTGACAAATCATCATATCCAAATAAAATCTCGCCGCACGTCAGACTTGTATATAGTTGTATTAATGCCCTGCCTATTCCCTATCGCACCGCGATGGTACTTCACCCAGTTTCGTCTATGCATCTTTCACAGATTCATTTTTTTACATCGCTCCATAACACCCTCGCTAACGTAGGCTACACAAGGCGGAGGAATGGGGGAGGGGCGCCATAGCCGTTCGCCCGCTGCGCTGTGAACTCGGCGACCCGAGTTCGATTCCCGGCCGCGGCTAACATCGGTGCCGAGCGATATCGGAATAAATCTTGAGCAGCCCTCCGTGTCGCCAACCTCCAATGACCAGCATGGTGAAGTATGGTCAAACAAACCCTCGACCGAGGCGGTGTGGGGAGGATTTCATGCAGCAGTGGAATGACATGAAGCTGTCTATTTTATATTTCTTATCTAACCACAACATCCTGCGGTGGTGTAACGGTGAGCACACTGGATTTTCAGACATCTCCGATTCGATTTCTTCCTCTGCCTCTATCCATCCAGCAGTAGATACGTTGACAACGCAGTTAGTCGGTCGGTATGTCGCGTGCGATTGTAGCAAATGGGATCTTCACATCCATTCCGTACGTCTGGCTGGTGTGGAAGAGTAGGCCAAATTCCATCTATCAAGTTCGTTCCAGTTCAGGCTGTTCTGACAGCTGTGGTGTAAGCAAACAATTGCATGGCTGTGCTTCTGTCTCTTTTAACCCAGCATGTATATATCCTTAGGCAGCATGATTATAGCACTGCGTGGATAGTATTTCTAAACAAATATGCATTGGATAGTATTATAATGTATATACACAAGATTTAAACTATGACACGAACACACAATACGTGCTTGTATGCATTTAAAACGCGTTTTGCCGATTTGGCACGTAAAATATAATTCAGACGGTAAGCGTGGATTCAAAGCCATTAAATGTGTATAAAATAATATTGCTCGATATGTGGACAAAATCCAAGCACATCGTGCATGATAGTGTGTGTTTAAATGTATCAGTTTGACACGTTCTCTAAAGAAAAGCCTAAAAAAGCCAATTAAGACAGCAGCTGTGCCCTGCTCTTGCCTGTGAAAGTCATTCGTCCTTTGCCAGGTATATGGTCGATTTTGGATTATACCATCAACATGTACGGTCACCACTTTGCCAATAAATGTGTCGCTTAAGGGAATAATGCGGCAATAGCAAAAGCACACAAGCAGTCTGTCTTGTGTACCACTGGGCACCCCATTGCGTATACACGAATTAATATCGAGCACGGCACAAAGCGATCTCACAGCGTGCGGAAGATTTGGACGCACAACGGCGTACGGAGCCATTTGCAAATAATTACCCACGTGGCTGATGGCACGGAGATCTCGCTGCACTTTTGTTCGCACGCAAGGAAGCACCTCAAGGGGTTTGGTGATTTTTTTGTTGTTGCTTTGGCACCCTTCGAACAGGTTCGTGGCCGGTCACTTCGGATTGGAAGTACCGAGCGGTCTCCCAAACGCACCGTGGACAAAACTCAACCCAGCGTTGGGGGGGGGGTGGGGGGGGGGGGGGGGTGGGGGGAGGGGGGGGCCGCGTGCGAGAGGTCACGTTGCGTGCACGCCTTGCACGACTCGACTCGACGAGAGGCGTGAATTGACCCCGAGGAGGTCGGGGCATCGCGGCAGGGGACAAGCTGCTGCTGCTGCTGGTCATTGCCAACAAAACGCAACGCACCGTGACTGCAAAGGAAACGTCCCCAATGGTCGGTGGTGGCCGACAATTGGCGTGGCAGGTTTACTCGGCGGATGTGCTCGGGACATGGAGGGGCTTATTTTTTTTTGCGTTCTTTTGCGTGACGTTTTTTGGGCGGATTGCAAAAGATCACAAACTGATGTCGAGATGCAATACCCATTCGACTGCTTCGGGAGTGGCCGCGCGTGGAATTTGTTTCAGGTCGCCGTTTGGATGATCCGATGCTGTCAGTCGAGTCATAGCAGATTAATGGGCAGCCTCCTCAAGAAGTACCTCGAGAGGCAAAAAAAACACTCACACACACACACATTCGGAGCCGTAGACGCCCCTTGCCGCGATGCCCCGTTGACAAAACATTCCGAAGGCTGTCGATTATATCGACGACGATGGCGTCGTCATTCATGCACGCACATACGCGCACACGCGCACGAGAGTTTGTGGGAAAGGCCACCTCACGGTTTTGACAGCGTTGATCCACAGACTAACAATCACTGGACAGCTGGGACCAACAAAGGGCGATGCAGGGAACCCTGCCGTGGGCTGTCTGGGTCATCGCACAGGAGGAGGACATATACAGACAAATAAATAAATATATATCCTCCAGAGGAAAATGTTTGGCAAAAAAAAAATCACACGGGAAAAAGCTCCTGTCACAAAGAAGGGCTCCAGATTATGTTTTGGGTCTCGTAGGCTACTACCAATGGCGGAGCCAGGATTTTCAGGTAGGGGGAGCAACCCCTCCAGCAATGAAAAATGATAGAGGAGTTGTTAGTAAGTGAGGACTTGTCCCTTGCTTTTTATTCGACGCGTCTGCGTCGTTGGCGCAGCCATCGATCGAGGGTCGAAATCGAACCGCGTTGTGTGATCAGCACCTCGCTCGCTGAAGGTGAAGTCGTGTACTGTATACGCAACTGCGCACAATTCTGTGAGTCACTTATAACTGCTTTGCCGTTACTTATGGCCAATTATGGACTCAGACTATTGTCCAATCATCTCATAGAGTCCCTGGCACGTAATAATACGCTACACAGTGACAGTGATGGACGCAAAATGCCGATTTATTACTAATAAACCCCAATGATCCGATCGAAATTCGGGATTTCGATCGGATCATTGGGGGGGCACGTGCCACCCCCCCCCCCCACCTCTCCCCCCCTCCCCCCCCACTGGCTCTGCCAGTGGCTACTACTGTTAATCCTTAACCTTGCATAAATCTTCAACCTCCTAAAAGATAAAAATTAAGAAAGGGCCAACAAAACCGTATTTTTGGGGGGCGGGGGATATGTGCTCAAAGTTGAGTTCTGAGACTCTTCAAATGCCTCTTTGTTGTAGCAGAACCCTCTCGCGAATGAGAGAACGCTCTTGATGTTGCAAACGGATGCGTCACAGCGTGGCGTTGGCTGGGGGTATACAATAGTTCTCCAAGAATAGTCACTCTCCAAGAACATTCGGGCCTCATTATTTCCAGTCATCTACATAATTGCTTGCCGCAAACTCCCGGGGAGCAGCAGCACTCGACCACCGGACGGGAGTTGTTCGCGTTCGCGCGACGCTCTGCAAATGTATCCGCTTTTGGTAGGGAATTCATCTTGGGGGAAAGATCACGAGCGCGTAAATAGTCACCGCAGGGCAACCGTTTGGTGCGGGGAGGGGGATGGTAATGCTGATGTGTTGGTGCAGTCGGCATTACGAGAGGACAGTGTGGGTGCGGACCTCGTTCGTCGCAGCAAAGTCCGAGTTTTCGTCCGCTTGGAACACGTGCTCCATCGTGCTGCATGGAGCCAACGTCAATTTGACGTCAATCTGACGTTGGCTTTTCGCTTCCGAGGGAGGTGACGCCAAGGGCAACAACGCGCGCTCGTATTTTAACCGGGCAGCGGTAATACTACATTAAGTTCACCGTGTGCGGGCCGACGTGTCGCTGACTCGGTCACGTGGTTTTACTTTTTACTCGCCAGCAAATTGCCAGATCCTCGTTAGCATGTGAATGGATCTGGTTCAGGAGAGGTAAAACCAGCCAACGCTGGGTTAGATGGGGAGGGAGGTGTGGATACTGGGTATGACATTAGGGTATATATATATGAGGAAGCTTTCGAACCAAGAGGTAGGACAATTGCTCCTCTCGAGGCGGCTTCTCAGAACCTCTCTACAGGCCGCAATATTTACCCGCAACGATTGGCACCGGAGCCAGCTGGCATTGAGACCCAAGCAACGCTGGGCACTTGTGGAAGGGGTCCACAGTAGACTCGAGCACTTCCCAGACCCGCACAGCCAGTGCCAGCTTACATAACGGCGGGTGCCCACCATGCAGTTTGTTGTGTTGTTTTCAGTGAGGAAGGTTTGCCCGTCCCTCCCCCTCCCCTGCAACCTTTGACCTGTGCTTGTCAACGATCGAGTGCCTCCCTCCGGGCTGTGTGCCAACAAAGTTGTGAGGTTCACCGCGCGGGTGTCTGGCCGGGCACGCGCAGTGCGTGAAGGGGCGCGCGCTGGGGTCTGTGAGACCCGCAGCAGGTGGAGAGCCGTTGGGGGTGCCCGGTGAGCGAACGTTGAATTTATTCCGTAGCGGGCGTAGCCCGACTGCGCTTATCGGAGGTGCGGATGGTCTGAAGTGCACTGCCACGTTTCGACTGATGCGTGGCGCTGTAAGTAGCGACATCAGTAATAATAATAATGATACTCGCAACGACACTGTGTGACCGTGGAGAAAGTGCAAGTGTCCGAAATGCTGCTGTGAGAATGCATTGGATGCTCGGGCATTGGGGGGCACTAACGCTGCCACGAACCGTTCATAGGTTCCAGGGTGGCAACGAGACGCAACGTCGACACACGTGTTGAGTGTCTACATATTGTGTGAATACGCAAATCACAGTGTTGTTTAGACTATTTGACTCCTCACGCCACGGAATGCACATTCGATCAGCGTCACGTTTCGACGAATTCACATTTTAGATCACGCAGAACAGTCGTTTGTGTTTCCACTGTGGAATTTTTTTTCTCTCGTCTCTATTTTTTTTTTTTTTGCCGGAGGTGCGATTCACGAGAATCTCCCTCGACGTTGCTAAGAGTGGAAATTAACTGCTCGAACCGTGGGGGGGGGGGGGGGGGGGGGGGGGGGGGGGTGGGGGGGGGAGCATCTCTGGTCTCTGGTTTTGTAAGCGCCCTTGCTGCTGGGCAAACAATCACCGCCCCGTGCCACAATTCAATCTAGTGAAAGCATAATGCAATCTGGTGAAACAATTTGGTGAAAGCATAATGCAATCTGGTGAAACAATTTGGTGATATTATTTGCAACTTCGTCCGGGTGACTCACTCCGTCATGGGAAGCAATCCTAGCATACGCGTCGGTCTGCAATAACCAGTAATTAGTCAGACGCTAGTTTGCCCAATTCCAGTTAATACAAACGCTTTGTTTTTTTCGGTAAAGTCACGTAAAATAAAAATAAAAAATTCACGACGTTTCGGGCGAAACACAAGCGTCCATCATCAGGTGGGAAAGCATGGTCTGCTGCCGAGGCAGACTGTTTTTAAAAGGTTTGAAATGGGTGTAGCTCAAGGGTCATAAAGAAGTGGCCGGGGCTAGTGATTGTTAATGTGAGGAATTAGCATGATGTTAATGTGATAAATTAGAGGGCACGGAAGTGGCATGTTAATGGGAGAGATTAACATGATGTTAATGTAAGAAATTAGAGGGCACGGAAGTGGAATGTTAATGTGAGAGATTAACATGATGTTAATGTGAGAAATTAGAGGGCATGGAAGTGGCATGTTAATGTGAGGGATTAGCATGATGTTAATGTGATAAATTAGAGGGCACGGAAGTGGCATGCTAATGTGAGAGATTAGCGTGATGTTAATGTGAGAAATTAGAGGGCATGGAAGTGGCATGTTAATGTGAGAAATTAGCGTGATCTTAATGTGAGAAATTAGAGAGCACGGAAGTGGCATGTTAATGTGAGAGATTAGCATGATGCTAATGTGAGAAATTAGAGGGCACGGAAGTGCCATGTTAATGTGAGAGATTAACATGATGTTAATGTGAGAAATTAGCATGTAAAAGTAAGCTAGGAGAGCGGCCTCCTAAACGAGGGAGTGCAACCCAACGTGTGTAATCCAAAGGGCCTGTGAGCATGAGAGTGCAATCCAAAGGCATGAGAGTGCTATCCAATGGACATGTGAGCATGAGAGATATGAGAGAGGCATAGAGAGAGAGAGAGAGACACAGAGAGTCGAAATAACAGCTGACATAGGCAGGTTGGATTGAAACATCACAGTCAGTTAAGACTTTACCTGGTTAATAACGTCCTTCCAATGATTGCTCAGTTTGAACCCATCCTCTCGGTTGAAGTTGTGTCTGTGTTTATATATCTGGATGGCTTCATGAACAAATCTCTGAAGCTGGCCGGTAGGTTTGTAGAGTACCTCCGTCTTTGAAAAATCAATTTCGTGTGAGCCCACAGCGTTAAAACAATGATCGTTACGTAAACACGCATTGCGTCTTCGTGTCTAACTTCAACTGCTTTAGATGACAAATTAAGTGGGGGAGGTCTGAGGTGCAACCAGTCATAGAACACAAGTCTTACCACGATGGCTTACATAATTAAAACTGAATAATTGATATCCACGCATGCAATGCATACCATTTCTTCTCATGCGCACAACGCCGCGTGTTTCATAAAAACATTTTTAATTGACTTTGACATGAATAGCATGAATCACAGTGTGAACCCAAAACATCGCACGATGACTTAATAATAACTTATATTTGACACCAATGCCCGAAACATTGATCATAATGACTTAAAGCTTTCGTGACTGCAGGAATTCATATTCTTTAGGTCTTTCGGTAATGCCACGTAGATAGAAACAATAATAATGCTATTATTTTGATTTTTTTCTATCTACGTGGTTTTACCGAAAGACCCAAATAATATTTATCATAATATAGCCTGTGGCCAAATCGACAGGACCGTGCCCAGTCTTATTATATCTCAGAAGGTAAGCAGAGTTGAGATTGGAAAGTGGTTGGATGGGCGACCACCGTGAATAAGAGAGGCGTCATAGGCTGCTGCGTTTCTCTCTCGTGGGGGCAGTGCGGACACATCCATTTCAATGGCGAAGTATGGTCAAACAATCCTTAACACCGAACGGCGTGGGCTTAAAACCTTAGTGCACCAGTGAAATTGACCCAAAAAAAGGCTGTACGCAAACACATACGCTACACTCCACTCGACACACATAAATACCAAAAGGAACTTACCTCCGATATGCCACTTTCCATGCGAAAATTGACACCAAATTTCAACGGGAAAGGGTCTGGCGCGAGCGAGGTCATTTAGCAAAAAAGAGGTTTAAAAAAAAATCATGAAATCTACTTGATGAACATTGGATCGATAGAGCGCGATTGTCACACCGCTTCGTATTGACGATTCAGAAGCACGACCTAAGCCTCTGTTGCACACAGTCTTTGCCGCTTGCTGCTCGGAGTCAGAGCCGCTCTAGAGCTCTGCCTTTAAATACAATTACTGCCACCCCCTATCGCTCCCAACCACCACCGCTACCGCCTTTCCTCCTCCTCCTCGCCCCAGATCCTTTATGAATGAGGGACGCTCGTTCACAATTCGCCACTTGCAGATCTGTGTATAGGGTGCACGGTGTAAATGCAATGACGGGGACGGGGGGGGGGAGGCGGGGGGAGGTTTCCACGCAAGAGAGAGTATGAGCTGTGTGGCGGTGCTGGTCTCTTGAATATTATTTTATAAAATGCGTCATTAGCGTATGCACGATTTATGGCAGGATTCGTTTCCACGCAATCTTTCAAAAACAACAACAACAACAAAAAGTAGCGTGCGTTGTTAAAACGAGGCCACCTTTTAAAATGTGGACCATAAGCACCACCAATAATTAATATCCGTGTTGGTAGAGTGTTCTTGATATTGGTAATTGTTAGCAGGTGTGGCACGAACGTGTGATTGTGGTTCCAATCACAATCTCAAAAGTGCGTAATACAATGATCAGCAGTGGATTGATCATGGCCAATGTGGTTTTTATTTTTTGTCGGACGTGGATTGTTTTGGTTGTCTCCGATTTAAATGTGGCGATCCGAGTAAACCCCCGCACCCATCAACACCGTCGCATTCCGCGTAAGGGATCGACTTACGCTCGATATGTGGATCAATTATGGTGAAGATGTGTGTGTTCGTGTCGCGAGATATCTGACAGATCTTTAAGGCTTCTATGGTTGAGAAAGAGACTTTAAAATTGGTCAGGAACGATCTCGTGACATCACTTTAGCGACGTAGAAAACATAATGAGCTTGGGGCTGCTGTTATTCTGTGACAAAAACGCTTTATAGCTCATCGGATTCCTCCTGCATGAATACATATTCTGATCATTATTCGACGTTTCCAGATTCGTATGTTGTAGCATGCAGCCACTGGAGGCGCTACCGCTCAAGGCAGTTATTTAAAAGTAATCGATTTATGATCAAATTGCGAACGCGGAATCGCGACATTCCACACCCCGAGTAGATACGAAATCTACAACATAATTTGTCACTTTAACGCGTAGGCTGTCGCGAACAATATTATCAACAATAGAGGTGTGTTGGGGAATTAGATCGCGTAAATATAAAATGTTGTTAAACCCGCTACCACCGATATAGTCATATAGAAAGGGTTGTCACGTAAACAAAACATGCAAATTCGTGACCGGTACAGCACGCCGATGTGTTGGAGAGTAAAACCCACAACATTTACAATTCGAGTACGACGTTTCGCCAGTAATTACAACCAGCAACATCAGGCGGACAGCCAGATTTGTGGAGAAATCCTCCTGTTTCGGTCTAAAGTGTTCTGTTTACGTGACAACCCCTTACTAGTTGGCTGTGTCGGGTGGTGGCGGATTTAACGCCACATTTATATATTTACGAGATCTAACAAAAAAAAAACCTTGTTTATAAACATAATAGGTGACGTTTCGGACAATGACCCTTCTGCATAGCCAATAAACGATACGTGATGTGGTCTCATTTCAACGTACACTTTATTTTTTTTTGTAAGATGAATGTGCTTTGACTATTCTATACATATCCTGTAGTTTAATTTTCTAGGCAGCGTTATTGAATACATTGCGTTCGGTTTTTTTCACCTCAGTTAATTAGGCTTGTGCACCACTGCCGAAAGCAGCGGCATCAGCAAATAATAATAATATATATATTCCGTACACCATAATAGCTGTTCGTTTATGGTTTGGGGGTCTTTAAGCATGTTCCAATAAAAAAATCTAATTACAAATAAAACGATATGCAAGCGCTTTTTTTTATTACTAGAATTTATATATATATTTAAAAAAAATCGAATAGACCAAAAGTTTAACATTTACGTCCGCTATGTATGTGGAATTGTAATAAATTAGAAATGTGCTTTACATAATTTGGGATGGCTCCACATTTTACCTGCGAGTCGGCTTGCGAACCCAATTCCAAGCTTTAATTTGCATCCATCTTCCATTCGCTTGCAATAAATTAACGATGTGATTAATTTTTTTTTATTTTGACGCCGTAATATTTCTTTTCTCCCAGTTTCCCAACGCCAAAATGTAATTGGCAAACTCCCCCCCCCCCCCCCCGCCGCCATTGTTCGTTTATAATTGCAAATCCTTTGTTTTAGAAGCAGCGAAAATAATATCCATTGTGAATCGCCACCGGGAGCTTAAGATCAACAGTGTGAGTATAGGTACTTTTCTAAATTAAGATAGATGTGTATCTTTGCAAAGAGAGACGAGTTGAGGTGGAAAACACATTCGTTTAAAGGCTCGTTTCAATGGCATTGTTTGTTTTGCTTATACTGAGAGTGGTTAGTTGGCCTGTGGCTCCGAATGTTAACCACTCGTGTGCCGACCACTGTGCCATTAATATGTTGTGGTGCAGCGGCGGTGTTCGGTGGTTAACACCCTGCGCTATGGACCCAGTAACATGAGTTTGATTCCCTGCCACGGTTTAGACACCAGGGAGTTGTCGAGTTTATTGAAACCGTTCATTGAAACATGCGGTTTAGACAGGTTGCAACAATTGCACTGTAATCCGTAATGTGTTTCTGCTGGTGACAACCACCTTTCATGTCCTCTGCGGCGTGTACCTGAATCGTCTTGTTAATTAAAACATACTTTCGGGAAAAAAACAACAACTTGACAGTGGAACTGATACCCCTGGGCCACTCACCATTCACCGCCCCCCCCCCCGACCCTCCAAATTGACCAGAGTGGTGAAGTATGTTCAAACAACCCCCTCCCCCATTACGTAACATGACCATAACGGCTGTGTGGACGTTTTAATCCACCAGCGGTTTAACAAAAGGCCGTGACAATTTTTTTCTTCTAAATTCCTCGTGTTGCGTGGTTACGACCCAATTCATGAGCTGTTGCAGCCGTACGGTTCGGTTTGGCTGCCGTCACGTCTCGCAGTATAAACGGAACATAAACGGATCGCGATCATTTCGCATTTGGCTCTGCCGTGCGCTGTTGTATAGGAAGGACGCTCCATCAATAAACATTTGTTAAAGCCCCCCCCTCCCATTCCCCCCCCCCCTCATCAGCAGAGACCCTCATTGGCAATTCCGCCATATTGAAGGAGCTGTCCTTGGTGCTAAGTGCACCATCTTGCTCGTCTAAGCGACTGTCGGAGCCGCTCCGCACAATTCTTCACTTTGGGCTTTCGTGGAAACCAAATGGACCCCCTTGCAATGCACGAGCTAACGGATATAAATCATTGAGCGCAGGGGACGTTACAGCCAAGAGGTTGGTTTAATTTAAATGCCGCACGTGCGTGGTTCAGTGGGGACTCTTTGTTGAGAAGATCAACAAAGCGACGCGTGCGAGTGTGCTGCGCCATGCTTCTCGTCTACCTGTGGCGCCTATAATGCTCGCGAAGATGCACGAACGCCGTCTCACAACGCGGTGCATTCCCTGCCTGTGATCCACAGCCTCCACCATGATGCGCACATTCCAAACATGCCTCCGATGTGAAGACCACATTGACAAGAGTGACCGATTTGAATGATAACAAAATGAAAGTCTGACAGTGCAATACATTTTTTTTTATTGTTTCGTTGGATTATAATGACAAATCAATGTCCTCTTTTTTTGCGTGGAAATTTTTTACTAAATATTTGGTGTTTTGAGTCTTTTCACGGAACAATATTACCATTTTCTTTAACATGTGTTTAGGATGCAGCATGGAACTCTATATTTGGCCTCACTGTTGCCACTGCACATTATATATTTAACAGATACACATTCCATTATGTTCACTGGTGGTATAAGTAATGCATGTTAAAGGTCATGAACGAAAAAAACATGTATATTAAGTAGCTGTAAACTCACACGTTTTGTGAAACGTGGTTGCAGTTCCTCCATATCCCAATTTGCTGCCGAAATATTCAGGTGAAGATGCCAAGGGCTTTTAAAAGCAGGCAGCAGCAGCGTTATATAGAACAAATTCAATCGTTAGTGGGAGTTGGGAGGGTAAGGTGAGTGGGTGTATAGGAGGCAGAGGGAAGAAACGGGTGAAGTATATCCCAGGTGGGACCTTGATCTTCCTGCTGCTGGCTGGATACCGGGAGGCTGTTTCAGAGAGATCATTTGGATGTAAGAATAAAAAAAGTACCTGCCATTGGCATTATTTGTCACAATGTCGTTTGCTGGAGAATGTAACACAAAAAAGAAACGTATGCTTGGTTGTTCTTTGTTTTCTTCTCCCTAAAGGCAGTTTGTTTATTTTTTTGCTGATGGCATTGTGTGAAATGTTTTAAACATTGCGAATAAAAGCAGCCCTTCATTTGAAAACATGTAAATGCCTTGCATGGAAAGAAATGTTATTCAACCCAACAAAGACATTTCTTTTTTGTTCAAAGACCGACATACTCAGGGTTTGCCTGGGGTCAGGATATGTTGGTGTTTGTGGTGGTTTGCAGAGGGAAGGAAGTAATATATGACTCAAAGTTGGGAATTTGTAAGTTGCGATTCACTGGAACGTTTTCCAGATATAACCTTGAAACAGAGGTCAACTTGGCATGAATATACCTCGACAGCATACATGGAGAATTACATGTAAGATACAATCCCTTGTCTAACCACTGCCCGTGCTTAATCATCTTGTAAACGTATTTGAAGAGGTGCAAAGGACGTGTGACCAAGAGTCAAAGCAAGTATCAATAAATCCCTTGCTTTGATTATGTACGGCTGGATCCGAAATAATAAAAAAGACGTCCTATTTAAATAGGATGCGGTGAACGGTGGGTTTAATAAGAAAATAGAGGGTGATGAATGAGCAAGTGAGGAGAAGACTCACGGTGATAGAAATCACAGAGAAGATGAAAAGGAGAGAGAGAGAAAAAGGTTCTGGTGTGGTTCGTTCGTGTGGAGAGAAGGAAAATGAAGGTGCAAGTGATGAGTGATGCAAGTGGAATGAAAAAGTTCAAGAGGATGGCAGAAAAAGAGGTGTGGGGGGGGGGCGAGGTGTCCAACGAGCGGAACGAGAGATGGCACAGGACAGGGCAAGCGTGGAGGAGGTTGACAAGGACTGCGGAAACATCCCCACGTGAGTGAGACGGACGCGTGGAAGAAGAACAAGAAGACGGATGTACTCTAATCCCACCTTCAATTATCCTTACTTCCAATCACCCTTGACCCACAGACACACGTTGAAGTTCGTTTAGTATTGTCTGCGTGCATTTGTTTCCTCCTCGTCTCCCGTAAGCGTAGCATAGCGCGACTCTTAATTAACATGGTTGATCGTTTAACATTTCCCTGAGACGCGAGCTCCTCTTGGCCT